CCTTAAATAGGTCTCTGCAGTCCTGTTAAGCACCTCAGTTTAACCATCGATTTGGGGATGATAGGTTGTGGAAGTACTGCGGGTCACACCTTGCATGGAAAAAAGATCTGTCCATACCTTGCTGACAAATACTGGGCTCCTATCATTGATTATATTTTCTGGCATACCATGTAACTTGAAAATATAATCCAAGAACACATGGGCCACAAAAGTAGGAGTGTAGGGGTGACTAAGGGCCAGGAAGTGACCATATTTGGTAAGTCTGTCCACCACTACCAGTATAGTTATTTTGCCCTTGGATTTAGGAAGTCCATCAATAAAATACATACTGATACTAGCCCAGAAAGTACTAGGAATCTGCAAGGGCTGTAGCAATCCATGATAAGCACTACTATCATACTTGCTCCTTTGACATGTTACACACTGTCTCACATAAGTTACCATATCTTCCTTGAGCCCCTTCTAGTAGAAAAGATTAGATACCTTTTTGTAGGTATTTTCTATCCCAGAATGGCCACCCGCATATTTATCATGCCATGTATGAAGGATCTCTTGCCTCGAAGAACTGTCATTGCCCACCACCAGTTTGCCTTTCCTCCTCAGCTGTTGGTTTACAAATGTGTACCCCTTATGTTCCTCTCCTTGCTCTTGGATGTTAGCTATAATCTCTGCAGCTTCATTATCCTTTACCCATCTATCCTTGATCTTTTGAAAGTGATCATGGTTTTCTAGAGTTAACAAAATCATGGCTAACTCCCCTGATAGAACCCTGGATAGGGAGTCAGCTGCTTTGTTTTCTCTCCCTTTCTTATATTCTATCACAAAATCAAACTGCATGAGTTTGCTATCCATTTCATCTGTGATCCAATGTGAAGCTTTTGATCCAATAAGAACTTCAAAGCCTTTTGATCAATCCTTACCACAAAATATCTTCCCATTAAATATTGTGCCTAATTGGTAACAACCATAACAAGTGCTAACAGCTCCTTGTCATATACTGACAGAGCTTGGTGCCTTCTTGATAGACCCTTGCTGAGGTAGGCTATAGGGTGTCCATCTTGCATCAACACAACCCCAATACCATAATTATAAGCATCAGCCTCCACTACAAACATAAGAAAACTGTTTGGAAGTGCCAGTACAGGTGTAGATATAAGAGCTACCTTTAACTTGTCAAATGCTTCTTCTGCCTTGCTAGACCATCAGAATCCATCTTTTTTGAGCAATTCTGTCAAAGGCCCGTTGATTACTCCATAATGCTTGATGAACCTCCTATAGTAGCCTGCCAACCCTAAAACGCCCCTCAGTTCCCTCACATTCTACTGTACTGCTACAATTTTCTTAGGATCAGTGGCCACTCCTTTAACAGATATAATATACCCTAGGTAGTCAATCCTGCTAGACCCAAAAGAGCATTTGGATTTCCTTGCAAACAACTTGTGCTTCACTAACAACTCAAAAGTCATCCTAAGATGTACCAAGTGTTCAGACATGTTCTTGTTAAACACTAAGATAACATCAAAGAATACCAATAAATTTCTGAGATGCTCTTTGAACACATTATTCATCAAACTCTGGAAACAAGAAGGAGCATTGGTAAGTCCAAAAGGCATTATCAGATACTCATAGTGCCCCGAGTGATTTTGAAGGTTGTCTTGGCTATATCTTCTGTTGCCATCCTGATCTGGTGGTACCCAAACCTAAGATCTATCTTGGAATAGACCTGTGAACCATCCAACTCATCTAGAAGTTACTCAATAATTGGAATATGAAACTTATCTTTAATGGTAACCTTGTTTAAGCCCCTGTAATCAACACATTGCCTCTAACTTCCATCTTTCTTTCCACCAAAACTACTGGGGAAGCATAAAGGCTGGAACTTGACTGCACAATTCCTTGGTCCAGCATATCCTATACTAACCTCTCAATCATATCCTTCTATGATGAATAATATCTATAAGGTCTGAGGTTTATAGGATTGCATCTTGCATGCAATGGTATCTTATGATCAAATGGTCATCTAGAGAGAGGTAACCCTTGAGGATCAGTAAACAGCTGATGGTACTCCTCAAGAAGTGACTGCATCTGTGGGGGCATGTTGATGTTAGCCTTCGTCTGCTCCTCTCCCTAGGAAGCACCCTCAACATAAATAACTGGCCCTCATTGCTAGCTAGCTTATCCAACTTCTTCTTAGCTTCCAGAAATTTTATTTCTCCACCCCCCCCCCCCCCCTCCCCAATACACATTCTTTTCCCTGATAATTATACCCCAGGGTAAGCTTCTTAAAGTTCAGCTTAAGGTCTCCTAGTGGAAGCAACCATTGTACTCCCAATATCATTTCACAAGAACCCAAATGTAGCAATAGAAAATCTACTGTATAAATGACCCCTTGCAGTAGACAGGTCAAGTCCTTACGAATCTTATTTGTCTGCATGTTGTTGCCATCTGCCACATTGATGGTTTGAGGATTAATCCTCAGAGTAGTGATTCCCAGACTTCTTGTTACATCATCATTAATGAAGTTGTGTGTACTGCCAGGGTCGACCAGTATACTCAGTGGCCTCTTCTGAAAATAACCAGTCACTATCAAATTATGGAATGGTGTCACTCCATGTAGAACATTTATTGATATTTCACACACCACTTCTTTCACCTCTTCTCCTGCTTCCTCAGCTATCTCTGCGGGTTTCTCTACCAACACTAAGTCTCATGTTTCTTCTTTCTCATGTCCTTCTTCCTCTACCTCCAACATGTATAGCTGTTTGGATCCATTACACTTGTGACCAGGAAAAAACTTTTCATTACAGAAGAAACACAATCCTTTTTGCCTCTTCTCATTCATCTCAGTTGTGGTAAGTTTACTTGTGTTTCCTTTATTCCAGTTAGCAACAGCCTCTCTTTTTAGCACGTTTTTCTCCTTCTTATGGAATTCCCATTTTGTTATAGATCCATAAGTGATACTTTTAGTATGAGATGACGCCCCCCCCCCAACTGTGCAGTGAGGACTTAGTCATCTTCAACTGAGCATTCACTTGAGCTTTAGTGTTCATGGACAACTGGTAAGCTTGTGGTAAAGAGAAGGGTCGATGGTTCTTCACTATAAATCCAATTTCTGGTTTGAGACCAGTGATGAAAGCACTAATAACATATTTTGGGAGGATGTGTAGCCTGGTCATGATTCAGATTCCTTCTGGTAATCCTCCACCACTCCCACCTGCCTTACTAGTTTAAGCTCGGACATAGGGTCAACATATTCAGCCCCAAATCTATCTATGAGATCATAAACATATTCTTCCCAGCTAGGATAAGGTAAGTGAGATCGACTTCTTAAGTAGGCAAGATGCCACTCAATAGTTATGTCATCAAAATATATGGAAGTCACTTTAACCCTCTGGTTATAATCAACTTCATCTAAGGAGAAAAATTATTCTACCTTAGAGAGCCAAGTTCTAAGATTGATGCCATTAAAGTGAGGGAACTCCAGCTTGGTCATTCGCGTTAGATTTGTTCCTCTTGGGGATGTAGCTGCAGAGTTTTGGGCGGCTGGTGTAGATTCACCACCCCCATTTTGTCCAACTGATGGTTGTTCCTGAGCAAAGCCACCCCTATTATTCCCAACAGTAGAAGGTCCTTGAGCAGGAGCTGTAAAAGCTGGTCTATGAGGTGAAACAGCTCCCCTTGGCCCTTGAAATTGAGGCATAGGCCCCAACCCACAAATGTTAAATAGCTGGAGAAAACTGAGATGTGGCCAGACCGCTGTGACCACCATGTACCCAAGCAGCAGTGTTGCCTGTAGGGGTGTAGATCTCAACCCCTTTCATCCATGTTTTCTATGCCTTTTCCTCGATCGTACCTCTTCACAACATCAATGGACTCTTTAAGCTCAGCAAAAGCTCTTTCATGTTGATTCTCGAGCTGTATTCGCCTAATTGAGAAGTTTGGTATCTCAACTGTCATCCTCTCAAACATAGACTTGATCTCGTCCATATTTACCATTGTTGACACCCACAGAGCTCAAGAACGTGCTCTGATACCAAATGATGCCAAAGGCAATAGAACAGTAATAAGAGGCGGAGGAAATAGAGATAAAAAAAAACTAAGCTAAAGCTATTCTAGGGTGTAGACTAATATATTTTCATAGATATTCTGCCAAAATGCTGGGAATTACCAATATATAGAAGAATATTTCCCTAGGACCACTACTAAGAGATAAGGCTGTACCCTTCCTCAGCTGACAGTACTATCGAGTACCAAAAGTACCAATCGTACAGAAATTACAGACTCAATGCAAATACTATAAAACATAAACTATAAACTTAAGAGGACTAAAGTGTAACAATTGAAACTCTCTATTTAATTATACCTCCAACTATAAAGGTCAGGTACTCCTCCTAAAGCGACTGGTACTACTCGTGATGCACAACAGTGGCTTTCCACATTTCACTCACATTTCATTCTCGCGTCAAGAAAATGGTATTAAAAGATTGTTTTGATTGAAAAGTGTATTTATTCGTTATAGATTAACGATGCATGGATCCCACTAAAACTATAGTATTAAATATGGAAAATACTGGAAATACATTAGTATTCATATAACATTTAAAAAGAATGTTCATCTAACTATGATAACATGCCTACATCTCAATAAACTCACAAACTGACCATTAACTTGAGAATACAGAAAATAAAAGTCTTCTAATACATTAATTAATAAACCAAACTTAGTTGTCAAGATCAGTTACGTACGAAGTCAATGTCCTACGCCTACTTCTCTCAGATTTGTGGGCACAGAGCTTTAACTGGATAGACCACCATTAGAGTTACGGAAAGGTCCGTTCTAAATACTAAATTAAGCTTAAGACCAGTAATATTATTAAAATGGATCACAATCCTCTAGCACATCCATCTAATTAATCAGAATCGTTCTTTGAAATTGAACCATTCTTTACTTATCACAAAAAATCAATATCAAACCCCCATCATCTTGACTAACAAAGATAAAGAATAAGGAAAGCAACTTCGTACTCTTTTTCATTTTGATTTTTTTTTTGGCAAAGTTGAATTGGACAATGAAATCAAGAAAAAGAAATACACTTACTTACATCACTAGAGGACATTGTCCAATCAGGAAAAAATTAAAATAAAATACATGAGACTTCTTTATTACAGCAACTATAGATATGCACAAAACTTAAAATAAATATTAAAAAATTGAAGATTTTTTATTTTATTAAAAAAAATAGTAACAAAAATGTTTTTCTACTAAACCTGTAAAATTGAAAGTTAACTTTGGACTATTATACATTTATACCTTGCAAGGTGGGGCCCAACCCATCATGAGAAAGACGGTCCTCTTTCATAGCACACGAAAAGTCGCCAGACGCGTCTCCAAAAGCGGTTACCTCGAACCGGATTAAAGATTTACTAAACCGGAGGTCGAGCCGAGTCAGCAGACATCAAAGAGGTTTCATCACCTTTTGGTTCCAAGCATTTAAACGACGGTAATTTGACGGCGTTTTTCACACTTCCAGAGGTGGAACCCTCACCAGTTTCAGCTCCAACTTTTGGTGATTTCATTGATGCGCCTCTAGAAATGAATGGTGGTGCAATAGTGAAAACCCACCGGTCCGAATATCCTTCCAGTTCGGACCGATCGATACGTCTGTTAGACCTAGCACCCCTGCTGCTTCCCTCTCCAGTACCGGTTCTGTACCCTTTTCTTGAGCTTCCGTCTCTTGGTAAGGCAACTCCAAAGCTCTTAGCCCGGTTCAATAATGCCCGGTTCATTACCTCCTTCCGAATCCCCTCTGGTAACCTTAGAGTGTACCGGTCCAAATTCTCACCCGGTACTACTACTGAGTGGCCGGTAGAATGTGACCTGAACTTGCTAAATATCCTTGGCTTCATGGAAAATGATCTCGGTGAAAGAATCGGCACGTTGAAACTCAAGTTTCTCTTTACTCCCGGTTTAGAAGAACCCCCTTCTTCTTGCTTCTGAACCCGGTTCGGCACGTTGAAGCTCAAATTCCGCTTCACTCTCGATCTAACTGAACCCTCCTCTTGTTGCTGCTGAACCGGTTCTCGTTGTTCTTCGTCACCCTCTATGCGTATCGAAACTTCATCGTTTTGCTGTTGAAGCTCAGTTCCCGGATCTTGTTGGCCCTCTTGGTTCAACTCGGAAACTTGGGCCGGTGGTTCACCGGGTTGAGGGGAGAGGTTAGCCCGGCAAACCGGGCAAGTATCATGAGACTGGAGCCAAGCATCAATACATTCAGGGTGAAAAACGTGATCACACTTAGGAATTAAACGCAGCGTTTCGTCATCTTCAAACTCGTTTAAGCAAACAGCACACTCCAAAGCTCCTTTACCAATATGGTGATCCTTCACTTCAGCATACGTAAAGGTCGGAAAAGTCTCAATAACGGTTGCATCAAGTCCACGCGCCGCAGCAGCACGGCGACGCATAGACAGAGCTCGGCGGACGCTACCGCTAGTAGAGGACTGAGTACAGTGTCGGATGTAAACGGAGAAAGCGGCCATGAAAAAGAGTGCTGCAATTAGAACAATTATGATAATTGCCAAAGGTGGATTGAGCTTTGCATATTGAAACTCACTTTGATTATTTTGTGGCTGTGCCGCTGCTTTGGGAATTATTACTAATAGACATGAGAAGAGGAACACAGAGAGCAGATTATCAGAAACTGACGAGTTCTGCTTAATTCTAGAATTACCCATGTCGCATAAATCTAAGGAAATGACCTTGGAAGTTAATAGATGGTACTTATATATAAGCTTTGAATACCAAGATTAAAAAATGAACTGGGT